GGTGATCTTCCTATTTCTGGCACCACCTTTGGCCTTGAAAATGGGTAAGTCACCCATAATTTCTTTCTTGGTCCAGCCGCGTACAGTTGGTGTCCTAACACCGTTGGCCTTGGCTATAGCTCTCCAGTCCTTACCGGTACGGTGAGCTTCCATGATTCTGACCTTGGCAGAATTCGTGACTTTCTTGTAGGGTCCCCTGCGGCGCCGCGGAGGGGTCTGAGCTGCGTTCTCGGCACCTTCAGGGCCGACTTCCGCCTGGACTTGCTGCTCAATGACGTCTCCTTGGAGGTTCATGAAAGAAATAAGCACGAGAGAGAAACACTACAGATGACAAGCTGGGCGACATCTTCCCAGAAGTATCTTCGGGAAAGATGCTTCTGCGCAGCGTAAAGGATTCGTTTACACATTATCTGTCAATTCTAGCAGCACGAAGATTCTTCTGTGTTCATCAGAGCTCTAACCCGAAATTGATGTCCTTGCTCGTGAAGTTGCATTCCTTAATCATGAAATTGATGTCTTTATTCGCGAAATTGAGTTCCCTATTCAGCCTTCATCGCTAAATTGATGTCCCTGTCCGCGAAGGTGACTTCCTTATCAGCTGAATTGATAGCCTAATCCGCCAAAAAGATTTCTGAAAGGTATAGATGTGACCTACAACGATCTTGGGTGTTCGAATGAAGGGTGATTTCGCGGAAGAGTGGTATGCAGTGTGAATCAATCCTATATTGGCTATTTGTTTGCCTACTATAAGAAGACACATGGGAGTATCACCATCCTAGTGATATGAGAAACATATTCCACGATTCTGTATAGCGCAAATCTCGGGTTTTTCATTATATCAAGTATTACGCCACTTCACGTAAAACGGGTGAAACTCCATTGTTGATAGGTAGATGGTCGTATAGAATTACGCATTGGTTTTCTTAATGTCGACCAACGTAGAGAGCGGAGCCATCGTGGGTGGTGACACGATAGTGAAAGGTGGACTTCAAGCTGAGCATGATGATGATGATGTTGATATCGATTTGGATGCTGCTGCTGCTGGTGTTGATGATGATGATATTATGGAAATGCAACATAAAATACAAGAATTGGAAGATGAAGCCGAACGGTTAAGGCAAATGACTGAACAAGGTAGTTGGGATGTAACCAGATATAAATATGATAAAAAAAGATAGTGATAATGTATAATATTTTGGGCTGTATTATACAGATTTATCTCAGGAGCTACAGGAGACGGTGATGGTGTTTCTGATCATGAAAATGTGGAAATGACTGCTGAACAACAAGCAGCTCAAAGCCCGGAGCAGGATAAGCGATCTGTAGGGGTGTTGAAGAGGCGTCGAGTTGGTACGGTGGTGGGTAGGTTTATGTTGGAAGTGTTGATTATGGCGCTGCACCGGAGGAGCTACAGGAACACTTTAAAAGCTGTGGTCCAATACAACGGTAGTGTCTCAATGATTTGGCCGGTTTATGGTAGTCTGTGTACAGTTGGAATTTATGGTCGCTTTTCTCAGTTCACGAGTTTTTCTTATTATATTATGAAAATTTATATGCGGATTTGTGTGCGGGGATCAACAAAAAATTCTCAGAATTTTCATATTGCCACCAACAAATGTAGTTTGGCAATGCTCAATGACCATGTGCATTCAAAGTGATGAATTTTGTTAGTTCGAAGAAGACGATAATCATAAAGACGGGGTTTTCTCTGGAGTACTGTTCCGTAGATTATGTTGGTATAGTTGCGTAACTGAGCTCAGGTGTAGGTGTATGGGGTATAGAACTTCTAGGAAAAAAATCCAATGTCACTTCATAATAGAAGTGTTACGAGAGAAATATTTTGTCGTATATAGTCGTACTCTGGGAAATAAGAATTTTCCAAACGAGTTGGTCCGAAGCACTGCCCTGTGTGCCTTGTTATGTTATTGTTGAAGTGTTCTCTGTGTCAGGATAACGATAATGGTTGATAAGTATAGTGGGCATCCGAAGGGTTTCGCGTACATTGAATTCGGAGATGAAGCTGCAGTGAGTTGGTTGGTGTCTCTAACGAGTTGATTCATTTCGTTCACTGTAGGTCCAGAATGCTCTCTTATTGAATGATACTATGTTCCGAGGCCGACAGTTGAAGGTGTTGCAGAAACGCACCAATTTGCCCGGCTACAACGCCAAGGGCGGTAAAGGATGGGGAAAGGGTAGTTATGGTCTGTAATGATTTAGAAGGATCAGTGTTGTCCAGGTAAGGGTTATTATGGGAGGGGATGGTACGGTAGCTCGAAGGGTAAAGGGAGCAGCAAGGGCAAGGGAAAGGGCGGCAGCAAGGGGTGGTCCCCGTATTAGAAGGCGAGAGTGTTCATGTTGATGGTTTTGCTGAACATAATTGTGGATAATAAGAAGAGAGGATAAAATATATTAAGAGGTTGCGTAAAAGAAAAGAGTAGAATTATCCACATTTGCTTTCATGTTGTGTTCCGTGGGTTTGTTGAGGATGATACAGGGCT